CCCCCCTCCCCCGCTCCTCCTGCCGGGCCTCCTGTCATGGCCCCGACCGCCGCCGCCTCTCGGTTCCCGCCGCCACAGTGCCCAGCCGGCTGGGAGAAGATGCCAAAATGGCCACCGGCAACTACTTTGGATTCACCCATAGCGGGGCTGCTGCCCAGTACAGGTAACGGCCGCGACCCTCCCCGCCCTGCCCCGCCCCGCCGCTCCCGTGGCCCCGGCCGGGATCCGCCCGCCCCCTCGGGCCACGGGAGCCGCTGCCCGCGGCGTGGGGGCCGCTCTGCCGCGGGGAGCCCCCGCCGGGGGCCCCGCGCTTCTCCACGCCGCCCCCGGGGGTCCCAGTCCTCCCCGGTACCGGGAGGGGAGCGTGGGGACCTGCAGCGCGTCCCGAGGCCCTTATATTAAAATGKCCCCTCGCAGTCAACATCACTGGGAGCTGCTGCCCCCGTGCCCGGGCCCTCCTCCGGGGAGGGTGGGGATCAGCCCGGGGCCTCAGCCCCCCGTTTTAGCCAGTGCGGGAGGGAGGAGCCCTTGTTAACATAACCAGAAACGACACCTACACAAACTCTCCGAAAATGGGTGGATAAGGGGGCAGCGAATTCAGGGGACTTGGTCGTTCCGCTGAGGTGATGTTAGAACTAGCACAGGCTTATCCAGGAAGCTGCACGTACTGCTGAGGCCCAGTGATGCTCAGGGAGGTTCCTAACTCCSATGCCTAAGACCAGGAGCAGGTCTTATAGTGGGCCTGCAACTATGCATCTTGTAATGATGTGCTGCCTTAGTCCTTGTGTGTCAAAGCTTGTACATCAGTGTTAAAAAGCGATAATAAGTGCCATATTTTCTGTGAATGTAAATTATTGATTTGGTAAGAAATAGATATCACCAGAAAAAAATTTACAGGTTTGACTTGTATTGGAGTATCATCTTGAAGCTCACATTTGAATCTATGGTATTGAATCTGTTATGAAGAACATCCTTGACTGCTGGTCTATATTAAAAATAAATTAAAAAAGAAAGAATAAAGCAAACATGAGAACTTATTAACAAACTAATGCCAATATATGCTGCTGTTAATTGTATAATCAAACTTGCCCAACTTAGGTAATTTAAGAGAGTGGGTTTTATAGAAGTCTTAACTCCTCAGATTGCACTTGCATTTTTTTTTTCCTGGAAATGGACTTGAAGTACATTATTTTCAGTTACTAGCAATATATAATAATTAAAACGGAAAATTAAACTTAGCTCAATCTTCTAGTTCTTTTTTGATGAGGTGCTGACAGTAGGTTTGTTCTCCTTGAGAAATACAGTGAAATTTGGGATTGAGTCATCCCTGGGGAGAGAAGAGATTCAAACTAGCAGAGATAGGGTTTCGTAAGAAAAATGGTCTTTAGTTACAGAGATTCTTATGTATGCAGCTGAGGTATGGAGACTAATTTTTAAGAATTATTCCTTTTCATTTGTAGATGGGAAGTCTATACACTTAAGAATCTGAGCAATTCATCTAAAGCAAAAACTCATTCAAAATTCCTTTTTGAGTTGTTACATAAAAACTTTAGTAGCAATAATGCTTAAGTGCAAGCCTGTTCTCGCAGTTAATCTGAATGTGTTCTAGAGCTATGGAAACTGGAAAAACTGATCAAAGAAAGTTTTTTCCTTTGCTGTCGAAAGTGCAAGATACTCTTCTGTASAGAGATTAGTGRAAGTCTCTGTGCCATCTAAGTGATTTGTATATTCACTGGATCTCAAGTGGGGAGGCATGGCAATCATAGTTAAAGCACTCCCTTCATAACATACAGAAGACCTCAATATCTTGAGCCAAAAATACAGGAATCACTTGGAGCATCTCATGTTCATGATAAAAATTTAAGTATTGCAGTGAAAATGAATTGCGGAAACGGGAGCTAACCTTTTTAAGGCAGATTTGGGTGTTCCATGTTGGCTTATTTACTGTGTGCCACAAAGTGTACGTTCTACCCTAGTGCATTTTAGAAGAGATGGTGGAGGCAGAGGAAGATAATACAAGATTAATATTCTAATAAGCCCTGCAAGATTGCTTACAGCATTTAAAATATCACAGATTCTAGAAGAATAAAATTCTTGTTTTGTTAGAGATGAGGAATACAGGATGATCTGTCCACATCTGTCCATCAGTGGATAATAGGTAGGCCTTAAATCTACAAAATTTTATTGTTTTGATGTATGGCAGCTAGAAGTCCCCATGATCTAGTTTTTATACCAAGTAGCAGAATTGGTAGATCTTTAGGTTGCAACTTTAAAGAAATTTTGCTCAGTGCTCCATATATATATATATCATCCTGTTGATTTCAGCAGATCTGCAACGAAGTGCAAAAATCTGCGTGGAATTCTTTTTAGGATGTAGGCCTTTCTTGGGCTATCTCAAAGTATGAAGCTGTTAAATATTCAGTTGAAGACTTGCAGAAGAAAAAACTTCTTTTCAGAAGGAAGAGAGTCTAAATAGTTTATGAGAAATTATTTCAAAGAGGAGAGCCTGCTGTACCAATTAAATGAGATTTGAAAGGAGTTTGTAGTTGTGTTCTTCCATGTTTAGTTCTGGACTCATAGGAAACCAATATAAACCCTGTGAGAATTTCAACTTCTCAAACTGACAGTGTTCTAGTCTGTATTAAAAGCAGTAAAGACATCACATATTAGAAGTACTGGATCCATGGAAATAACATCTTAAAAATTTAAAAGACAACAAAGTTGTTATTGGAATAGAAATCGCTTTATGTCTTGCTGTGAAGCTACTTTAGCTGTGTCCATTATGGACCATTGAAATAGTTCCATTTTCTTCATATGAAGGATAAGTTAACATTTCTCCAAGGCATATAGTCCTAAAATAAAATAAGAAGAAAGACAGCAGGTGTCCATATTTGTTCATAAATACTGTTTTTCATATGGTATGTTTGAAATCTTACCTCACTTCATATTTAATCAAAGGCAGCAAAAGAGCTAAGTGGCTGTTAAATCTATGAATAATGAATTAGAAGCATTCTTGTTCCGTTTGGCTTTGCCACAGCATAAAATTTCCTGCTGTCCATTCATATAAAATTCTTTATGGCAACTACAAAGTAATATCATGATTTAATGAGAACAACAGTAGATTAGGCAAATACTTACAAAGGAAACTTGCATGAGTATTTTTGCTTTCACAATTTGTGCATTTTTGCTAGTGGTGGTATTAGCATGTAAAGTCTTGCTTGCAATGTTAAACTCATTTGTTACTTATTTCAATAACTTTAGTAATCCATTTGTTTAGGATTTACAAATAAATATGAAATTTGGTGATGCAGACCCACTTTGGCTTGGTAGGTAGGTGCACACATATTGTAAATCACCTGAGCCACTGTGAGTCTGTACTTCATTTGAAGTACAGCCTGATTTTGGAATATTTTTCACGTGTTAAAACAGTAGTACTCATAATTCCATGCTAGGAAGAGGCATAGTTATCCTTTTATTTTAATGTTGGCTCATTGGACTATGGGGATGCACTTGGCGAGATGAGAGTATCRAGAAAGATTCTGGCAGGGAAGTGAGTTTTTATTTGCCTACAAATGTGGTGGTCGCATTTAATCATCCTTGTGCTAAGGTTTTTGGTTTCTTTTAAGAAGATAAAAATAACTTGGAGTTTGTTCTTGGTGAGTCACTTCTAATGAGACAGATCATAGACTGGAGCTTCTTGGGTAGTTAGAGCTGCTTTGGTTACTTTGAATTGGAGTATGTGTGCCCTCAAGTAGCATGACTGTTAACCCAGCGTCATGAGCCTTTGGAGCCTTTCCAGAGGAAAACGATTGTAGCTATTCAGGTCTGTAGCATGATGCCTCTGAGCTTAGGATAAGATGCAATCTTCCTGAGCCGTATGAAAGTGAACTCCTGCTATTATAGCTAGTTTGGCATCCAAGCACAGTGCAAAGATGTTACCAGATATTCAARGCTGTGGCACAAATGGGCAAGGAGAGATGTGTGGATGGATAGGTTTGCCAACGTGAAAAGGTTGGGCTTTTCTTTTGTTTGTTTGKTTTGTTTCCCTGCATGGTAGTATTTCTAAACAGCTTTACTRTGGTCTTATCAGTGTCTGCCCAATTATCTGTTCTTCACTCAAATCATGGTTCCAAAAGCTTTCAACCTTTGAGATGTTAGGGGTCTAATCCACGGAGGATCCTACTTGCTCAAGCTTAAAGTGTCACYAAACATAATTCAGACTTATGCTGGTGGACAATTTTAAGTACAAAGAYAATGCTGAGGAGTCAAGTCTTTTTTCTGAAGTGAAATTTTACTACTAGATTTGAACTGGAAATCTTTTAGGAAAAACAGATATTTGTTGTTATGATGGTGTGAAACCCCACTCTGAAATGTCTGGGGAATTAATTTATTCAGGATGTTATGATTAGGATAAACCTACCTATATTTTAATGTTAAAACTCCAAATGCTTTCTTTCCATGAATTTTATGCCCTTGCTATCTTGAATTGCATCCTATTTAAAGGGTATGTATTTTTACCAGAAGGAACTTAAGTTAATATCAGAGAGGTGCATCATACTGCCTCTCCTTTGTTTAATCTATGTTGCCTTTAATTGCCACTTTAAACATGCTGTCTAACTTACTTGATATACAGAAGAAGGCGCCAATAAACCAGTGCCATTTACACAGAGATTTTGATAGACTTATTTTCAAACCAGTGAGGTGCCAGTCTCAAATGAGATGTCAAATTAGAGAGGAGGTGAAAAGCTCAGGGTTTGTTAACATGGGCTCTGTGCCAGCATTGCAGTGAGCTAATGACAGGGAGCCAGAGAGAGGTGGGGAGGAAAGGTACCTCTGTAATCTGTTGCTTTTAGGAGGAAAGTCTGCAAGCTGGTTTAAGTTTCCAACACACTCGCATCTTTAMGGACCAACCATTGGGGGAAACTCTCCTGTCAGAGGTATTGAAGTCCTCTGTAGYTTTATCTTCAAATGGATATTTACAGTCTTAATTCTGATACAGAGTCATGTGCAAAGCTTTGTCTGTTGCTTAAATGGAGCAATGGCAGGGAAAAGAGTACCTGTGTTATTGGTACTTAGAAAAGCTAAGTTGTGGTTTGTGGCAGGAAATACAGACTGCTTTAGGAATTGAATACAAATTTCTGYGCTAGGGAAGCTTCTTCCCGC